TCTTCTACTTCTACTTTTATTACGAGAACCCCAGTCTCCTCGACTCCGTGTTTTCCCTTTGCTACCTGCCCCTCCAACTGTCTTGGAGAGTGTGAGAGTGGTCGGTGAGAATGGTCATGGCTGTGACAGACGAGGGACAATTTGTGCCCGAAGGTGTTGCGATAGAGGTTGTAGAAAGGGGTGGTAGAGCCCGACGTCGCACGCAACCACCGGCTGATAAGGCGGATGCGAGTGAGATGGAGGAGGAGTTCAGGTTGGGAGTTCGCCAGGTCGTGGAGCTGGCGGTCGAACTCAGCAGGGTAAGTGACAAGGTCGTGTTGGATACAGTCGGCGACATACTTGGCAAGGTTAAGCGTGCATTCACTTGGGACGGTGTTGCAGGTGGCGTCGAAGGACGCCTGAACCTGTTGGGACTCGCGGTCAAGTGCAGCAAATTCATCGAGAAGGGCGTCGGGGGGCATTTCCATGCGGACGACCTTGCTGTCCACGACTTTGGTGCCTCCAACGTAGGCCTCGGTCGAGATGGAGCTGGGAGGATCAGGGGAATCGAGGATTTGGGGGACAATGGTGAAGTCAGCACCGAATCGAGGAGACTTTCATTGGGGTGGTCAGGGTACCTGGAGAGGAAGGAGGTCCGTGGTGCACCCGACGCCACGGGACAGGTTTTGGTGGCACAATGCATTGGCGTTTGCTGGTGCTGCTCGCCGTGGGTGTCTGAGTTGTGGTTGGCGGAGGGACAGTTTTTGGTATGGAGACGCGTTTCTCCTGTGTCGCACCGTCGAGGTCAGTGCGTTGGAAGTCCTTTCTGTGGTTGTACCACATAGTGGCATTTCCCTAGGAGCACAAATTCGTGGACAGGTTGACGTTTGGCATGGAGGAGTGCAGGAGCATCAGATTGCAGGAAAGAACATCGGCAGTGCATGGTCTTGGCTCCGTACGTGGCCGAAATATGACTGTAGCCTCCAGCTACAGACTGAATGGGAGGGGCAGCCATGATGCTCCAAAGGTGGGGGTCCGTAGCGCGGTCATGGACGAAGTCGAGGATGCCATTCTAGAACTTTTCCAACGCGTGGGAGGATTCGGCAGTGAATGGCATGGAAGTCTCCTTCACTGGGGTGTTGAAGGACATGCCAGTGATAATATCGAGAGCTTCAAAGATGGCAATTCCCAAAGTGAGCAGGTGATTGGCCAAATATCGTCGGACTTGAAAGAGATCTGCCAATGAGGCGCCGAGACCATTGAAGAGGTCAGCCAAGACAACCTTGAGCGTGTTGACCTCGTCGATTTTTGTGATGTGCGACCCCGTAGCGAGACGGAGGTAACCCACGACAGGTCGATCGGAGTCGCGTCGAAGTGCAGAGTAGGCGTCAGAGAGCTCCACACCAGTGGCCGAGTCAGTAGCGAGGAGGTCCAGGACCGGTTGCAGTCACAGGTAGCCGACGTCGCCGTGGAAGCTTGCGCGAGAGGCCTGGTGGCGCTGTTCGCGCTGAAATTCTTAAACGTTCAACGTTGGGGAAGGGTTAAGATTCTAAATGTCCTATAAAAGGTATTGAAGGAGCAACCTGGAGCTGCGCTGGCAGCTGGAGCGGGTGGCCGTTTGCGTTGCGATGGGCGCCAGCGGCAGGAGGCGAGTTGGCCACAGCGGCCATGTCACGTCCGGCGAAGGCAGCGGTCTTGCGGACATGCCCAGAACGAACGCTGGGAAGGAAATGTTGCGCGCGGTTGGGGCAATCGTGGTTGAAGCGGGGGCCATGATCGGGTAGTATTTCCGGATACCAGCGGGGTAATTGTGCAGTAGATGTTATGAATTAGTGCTTCCCTAGTAGTCTAGTTGTCAAAGGGTATCTTTATCTTGAATTACAAGCTTTTTGCGAACGCCTGCAAGTACCTGTCGTTGATGAGCTGGACTTGGTACGCAGGGTCGAGGTTGTGGCCCACGTATATGCCAAGGTAGCGAATGGGGACACCGGTGTCCGCGAGGGTGATTGCCGGTGCGCTGGCTCGGCCAACCGGGGGTTCGTTCGAATTGAGAACCAAAGTAGTGCACTTCCTGAGGTTCGAGGTGGCACCAGACGCGACGCAGAACGTGGCCACAATGGAGTCGACTTGATGGTCTGCCGACTCGAGGGAGTTGGACAGGAGGGTAGCGTCGTCTGCGAAAAACACGCTGGTCATGCTCGTGCCATCAGGCATGGGGATGCCCAGTTCGGGTGCAGCTCGAAGCATGTCACCGAGTGGCTCTATGTACAGGTTGAACAAGAGGCAAGACAAGGGACACCCTTGTTTGACACCACGGTTTGGGCGTATGGCTGGCCCGAGGGAGTCGTTCAGCAGCAGGCGCACAACAGGTTTGGTGTTGAGCAGCTTAACCCATTCGAGAAAGTTGGGCCCGATGTTCATATTGGCCATGACATCAAACAAAAAGGTTCGGTCGACGCAGTCGTAAGCTTTGGCGAAGTCGAGGAAGGTCGCGTACTATTCCTCATTGTCACGCGTCGCTTTGTGCTGTAGGGCTGTTATGAGGTGGATGTGGTCCCGCATGCTGCGACCACGGACAAATCCTGTCTGCGTTGGGTGGATGATGGTGGGCGCAACGGTGGACAGGCGAAAAGCCAGTACGCGTGACAGGATCTTTAC